TCCCCACTCGTAAAACCTTGAAAATGCTCATTAACCTTACTGATGACGTCTTGCATTGATTCACAGCGATTTTAAATATAATAAAATTAATATTAATGTCTATCAGAGTATGTACCTCAGCACATCGACAGGTACCATTCTGACAGGATTTCGTCAATCCACCGCAGTCCATATCGTCCTTACAGGGTAAAGTTGCCAAGCAAGCATGGCAGTTACACTTGCCAAGTGATACTCCATGACACTGACCCTTAAAAATGAATGAGCACCTAATAATAGTCAGAATAACAAAGAACAATAACAATAAATAATAAAGTTTACAATAATAAAGAAATAAATGGATAAGATGTAGGTGTAAAACGAGCGTTTTTATTAAAAACAGTAAAATTGCAGAGGTAATAAAATGAGATTATTAATTTGCAGAAAATAAAGGGGATCAAACGTAGAGTTTTCCCTCTCTCTGATTGTTTTTTTTTCGGAGGTAACTGTCTATGATGCGCATGTCCTCGTAGGGGAACTTCTATCGGCAGATTATTTTGTGATTATTTAAGATCACTTGAAAGCACAGTTCACATAATTTAGTACCCGTTTTTATTCGAAAAGCGGAAGTATAAACTGAGTTCATCAGTAGCGAAGAAAGCGAGAGAACTCGTCGATTTCGAGAAAAATGTGGCTCTCCAAAAGTAGGAAAAATAGAGGTTGGACGAGATTGCCATGACGGAAATAACATGGAAGGGGTATTCGGACGAGATTTCAGTTATTACAATTACACAAAGAGCCGACTACATAAACCCAGAACTGTACAGAACTGTCTTTCACTGTCGCTGTGGGTCATGATAAGTTGTTTGGACTTTCTACATGGGTTCTCTTGTGATCGGTGCATGCCGGTGAAACTCGTCCGAAGATACACACGGACCAATCTTTGAGTCTTTATAATTCCCTAACTAGGTCGTTTTCCGACCTAATAGTGCCAGAAATGGTATACGTGGGGGCATCAAATTCCGGAAGTAAAAAGAAGTTCTCAGGAACCATTTGCATCGTGAACTGTGCCTTTAAAGCATGGACATCGTGGTAATCACTGGTTGCAAGTACAATACTTAACTATACCACCTTGGTTTTTTGGAACCCTTTCGTGTTTTTGTTAAGAGGGCAGAGTAGCAAAGAAAAAGGGAAGCGATGTAGGAGATATACAAAGTTCTGACATAAGTTCGAAATTAGGCTACTTTCGAACTCGTTATGTTCATGAATTCAAACCCATGTAAGTCCAGTTTTCACTTGCTGTTCTCATTAACGGGCTACAGATGTGCAGGGAGAGATGGCCGGACACGATATGAACACCTCGATGTTGCAAAGAATAACATTGTGGGCAAATCTTTCCCAGTCATCGCCCGAAATGATATAAAAATTAAATCGAAGAAATGAAAAATATAGGCAAATGAAGTGATAAGATATGTAAAGCAGGTACACACGTAGCCAAAAATTCAAAAATTGCCTTCAATTTAAGGAATAAAGACAAGCAACAAAAATTTGATCTTTGTGTTCATCTTCCTACCCTTCCAGGACAATTCGAGCTTTATCCTGCATCGTAGTGGTGTTTGAATGCCTTGGTGGTCCTGCCTGACTTGCGGGGGAGAAGGAAGCCGAAAGCCGCGGCTAGGGATACAGTGGGCCTCCGTCCCTCCACATGAGTCTTGTTTCGATTGGCTTACACGGAAGGAACAGAATGCTTGCTTGGTCGGGAATTGGGTGCAATCCTGGTTTGGGATAAAATCCCCAAAGAGTAAAAACTGAAGTGAACCTGCTCAACGGAAAATGCCTATGAAAGCAAACACGAGGAAGAAGAAAAACAGAAAGTGCTTTAGCCAGAGAGAAGCCCTTCGGCCGTCTTCAAAGAACTGCTAACCTTTGGACTACTTGAGATTATTACAAAAAAATAAGAATTTTCTTTTTTTAACATTTCATATGAACAAATTTCGAGTGAGCAACAGCGGAGTTAAAAGTACCTTGCCACATTCGTCATCGCTGTAGCAGATGGCATCCTTCAAGCAGGTACTTCGTTTACTCGTCACGGATTTGAGATTGGGAATAGTTGTTGATGATCCTGACCGGACGTGGATCTCTGGAGTTCGAGAAGAAGCTAGGGGGGCTGCCAACGAGGGTGAACTTGTAGTGTTGGCCGTCGTCAGGCCCGCTGAAGCTGACTGAGCTCCTGCAGTCGAAGTACTAATGGTCGAAGGCGTCCCAAGAGTCTCTTCCGTCGGAGTGGTTGTATTCGTGAGTAATTCCATCACCTCTTCATTAACAGCCTCAGCTATCAGACGATCAGCAATTTCAACGACACCAGGCCGTGCCGGTAGACTAGCTACAGCCATCGACGACAACATCTGGAGAAGCATTGAAACACTACTAGCGTTGAGAGCCTTCTGCTCGGCTAAGTCGGCTTGACTGTTCAATGACACCACCATTGGGGAGGAGGTTGTCACAACCTGAACCTGACTCATACCGGTGGTGAAGTTCGGAGGAGTCGCCGGCAGGTTTGAGGAGGGTGTCACGGCCTGAAGATTCACACCGGTCGTGACGACCTCTGTGGAAGTTACTGGAGGCATTTCCCCACTTGCTTCAAGATTCTGCAGAGTAAAGTCGTCAAGCCTTTGTGGAAGTTTGTCGATTGCATCCTCTAGAATATCTTCAAGTTCCTTGTCTAATGCTCGAAAAAGTTCATCATCGTTATCGTCTTTGGGCGGTGATGACGAACTGTCCACAATCCGACAAACTGAAAAAGTGAAACTTCTGCTTTTAGGGATATCTCGGATGTGTCTGACTTATTTTCGTCATAATTGTATTCACTTTTTTGACGATTTTCATGATGCATGATCGTTCCAGCTCTTCAGAACTGTTGTTTTTTTTTTGAAGAAAACCGGGAACGTTCAGATTAAAGCATTTAAAAGTGTTGGAAATGAGGTAGAGGAAATAGGTGGCCAGGAATAGGCGCCGGGTCGATACTTGCCCCGGCCAACCACACCTTTCATTCCCTCGTGTCGGTTGATCAATCCCAGAGTCATATAGGAGGGTAAAACTCTGACTTCATATCAGCTGATGCTTTATTATATTTTTCCAGGTGAAAGTATAGGTATAGGTTCTTCCACCATTTAGGTTCCACCGGTTTGTAGTGCCTATAGGTCAGCTACCCAACGTATTATGACGGGATAAAATCTCGAATCGATACCCACCCAGAACTATGAAACCGCTTCCATAAGAGGAAAGACTACGCCACCTACATTCCTGCACCTTGATCAGGAAGTTGTCCGTGGAGCAACAAAGAAAGGGGCTTATGCAAAGAGAACTCGTCCGTAATCAGTTTTTTTTTTCGATTGCATCCGCTAGATTTGATTAAATCACGGCTGAAGCAGTGGAGCGTGAAGATGGAGGAGATCATATTAAATCACTAGTTTTCAGCAGTACTCAAAGGTAAATGCTTCTGTAATTCTGACCCTCCCCATCTCCTTCTTAATACATACCGCAATCGTAAAAATTGGGCATTCACCTTGTCAATTTCGGGAGGAACCTGGAGACTTTACCTTTTAATGGCAGTTAACAGTGAATAGAGAATATCTCGAAGGTTCCTTAGGCTTATCCACTCAGAAACCCTAGCCAAGGTGGACTCTGAAAGAGACCCTAACGATTTCAGTTTCAATAGAGGCTCTAGGTGTAGGGCAGCTAGCCTAGAATTATTCAATCGATTTCACAACAAACGGAACGGATATCGATCGGACAGTGTACCGATACAGGAAGGGGTGGAGGAGGCCGGAATGAAGTATTGATGGGTACTTCATTACATTGGTAATAATCATTTTTTAGTCAGTTGTGAGGTTGTAAATGTCAAGAGCGAAAAACCAAAGGCTTTTTTTCACATAAACCTGGCTTCTGTAAGGAATTTGCGTAGACAAACGGGCTTTTCGAAGGAATCCAAAATGAGGTAGAATATGGAAGCTTGGTCAGGAAGGAGGAGCCTTGCAAACGTATAGAGCTTCATGCAAAGAGCTAGCAATTACAATTACCACTGAACAGACAAATGGTAACTGACTCACCTGTGACTATTAGTGCAAGACCCAGAAGCATGAATGTAGTGTGACAAGTGAAAGCGCTTTAGATTCCTTAATCTGCCCGTAGATCGCCGATTTGGCGTTGATACGAAGACGAGGGCGATTTGGTGTGGATGTTCGGAAGGGATACCACGGCGAAGGCTTTTTTCCACTTCACTGACGACACTTTTCGGTAAGAATTTCGGGGCTAAATATCTGCGGAAAAAAAGGAACTTCAAAACGTTCATAGCAGATTGATCAGATTGATAGATATTAAATGGCCTAATAATCGACAAATAAACAGGTTACCCAGTGCAAATGTCGCTACGAAGGAATGAACATTAGGAAACAACGGGAGTGAATCGGTCAGAAATGGAACATAAGAATTGCTAAAAACATTGCAGTGTGTCACACCTAAACGACCAACTTCTTCAAGCATATCTCAGATGGTATCTCCTCAAGTGAAGTGAGACGACAGAAGTAACTACTCAACAAGAGAGTGATGAGTAATGGCAGGCAACGGCGAAAACAGCTTCCTAGTCCATAGATCCGATGCAGGAGAGGACTTCGTTCATTCGTGGAAAGCTTCACAAGCCCCCTCGGTTGCAAAGCCTAGTTTGTATTCGGTAGAACAGGACAGCCGCCTTTCTCAAATTTCTCTAGTTTGAATACAAAAACACTCAAATGCCAGGACGATTCCAGACCGGGTCGGAAACTTGGCTCATCCGGAAAAATTACGTCAGCAGTGCTTGTCCTTTCTAGCTCACTATATTTTGGGGGGGGGGTTGCCTATAAATCATGGTTTTTTCACCCCATTGTGTGGCAATGTTAATTACGTTGACTACGGACAGGGGCTCCCATCTATGTAGTGTTTAAGCAAAGGAACGAACTGGCAAGAATTCAAAACGGAACAATACTGATGTTGACTTGACTCTGGATGAGCCATGCATTCGGTTTCAATAAGAAATCGCTATACGTTTGGATGAATATTCGATCTAACAGAACGCACATTTCCCTTAGCATTCCTGAAAATTTTTTTCTACGATGCCGAACCAACCTATGTACAACCTCTAGACTATAGGTAAGTTTATGTTAGAAAGGCCGAGATGGTGTACTCCTAAGTGACGAACTACTAAGTGATACGCTCGGTCTGGGGATCAGTTCTTGGATTGAAACTAGCCTATGCCAGCCAAGCCTTTCATCCCTCCAGGGTCCATTGATTGATATGTATTGGACTCGTCCAGAAGATGAAAGTACTGGACACCACAGGACCATGACCACCACTGCATAGACAACATAAGCCATTACGATTCTTATTGAAAGCCATATGCTTAGCCTCATCTCCGAAACGGAATTGATCAACCCAATGGGACTTTATTCTGAATCGTTTATACCTTGAATTTAAGGGTGAGTCGGCAAAACATGCAACAAAATATGCAAAACAATACAATTGCTTAGAATCGTTAACGAATATAGAATTGACTACTGAATCGTTGTTTACCCAGTGATTCCGTTCAGTGAGAGTTTCTAGAAAGAAATATGACTGAAAAACGTTAACAAAAAACCTCTCTGGAGGTGTCACATGTGACAATGACCCAAACGCCTTTATAGACATCCTACCAAGACCACTTGAGCGGGAGAAAGTGAAATGACAGTAGGCTGAATCCGGTTTAAAACAAATTAAGTGTTTATGGTATGGTCATTCCGTCTCATAAAACAGGATTCACTAGAGATAAAATGACGACAGACACTAGGTCACTAGTGCTCTAGACCCATTTTGAAGTGTCACTTACCCAACATTCTTTCTATTGTCTAAACAGGCCATCTTCAACTTCAAGTTTCTCTCAATATTTTCTTACACTTGCTAATGACCTTTCTAAGTCCCATTAAATTGTCAACACTACTCCGGATGGTAGAATCGGATGCGGGGCGCATCCTGAAAGGAATTGATCAATGCAAAAAGACCTAATCTTGCGATCCTTTAAAGATAAGGCCGCAATTTTGCTATTTCAGAAATGATTGACCCTTTAGCAGTTATCAGACTACAGAGCGCGATATTTTTTCCGATTTCCGGTTGCATTGCCATCATCTCTCCTATCTGGGCCCAGTTTCAAATCCTGATTACTTACCTTTGACCAGAAAATACCACCTGAATGGGACAATACCAAGACTCTTGGCTGCAATCGACTGCAGTTGAATTCTAAATAGGAAAATCAAGGCCAAAAGGTTTCCTTCTAAAGTGATATGCATGAGGGCGATTTGAGTCTGATTTTCCTCAAAGCAGGATTCTGAGTCGCATTCTTATGAAAGTTATTCATAAAATGCTTATCCGAAAATAATCCCAAGTAATAAAAATAAGTCCACAATATTTATCAAACGAACACCTCGAAAAAAAAAAAAACTTAGGCACGTAAATACAGAAACTTAAATATCAAAACAAAAAGTAATACCAAAGTAAAACGATCACAGTGGATCGCAAGTGATCTCTCAGATCCTCCTGTCATACTCCAATCGGAAAGAATTGGATCGAACAGATTGGATGGATCATTTGTGATTCACTGGCATTCAGATATTGGCAGCGCGTATAGCCATTTGGCTTTCGATTAATGAACGTGGTGTAGCGCTCAAAAGAAATTCCACCCGATAGCGCTCTCGGGCGCCCAGACGGCATCCCGGTTCACAAACTAATTGACGTAGCTGAAACGGGAAATATCAAGGAGTTGAAGGATAACCAAATGAAGGTTTAGGCTCACCAGCGCGTCTACACATTCAGCTCTGGCCATGTCAAGCCATATTCGAGCCTCAACGTCTCCGCGACAGTGCTCACCAGCCCAGAGAGCTGTCTCGAGGACGTTTTTCGCCTTCGTCAAACTTGATGACTTGTCCTCCTGCAAAATGGTGGCACAGGCCAGAAGAGCACGAGAATAGCGTGACCTGAAAAGTAGGCCTTCTCAAACCAAATCGTGAAACGCATGGGTAAGTTTCTGACGCCATTGTCGCCCTTCTATGGTCGTTTCCCCTATCAATCCGAGTAAGCTCCAATATGGAGCAAGCCCGAGCCCGGCATCACACCCTTTTAATAAACCTATCGCTGCCCCCTGCCATGGCTTCGAAGAAGGCTCTTGCTCCGAGCTCCTAGTTCTAAAGGCTTAGTCAACTTGCATATCAAACCTTACCGTAGCTTAATAGGCGGAGGTTTTCCATCCATTCTGTGATGCAACAGTGTACAAAGAGCTCTAATCGCATATCGGCACAATCCAACCAGCTCATCTCCACCGCTTTCAATTTCCGCTCCAAGAGTTTCCTGAATGTACCTCACTGTAAAGAAAAAAGTTACATAAGAACAAAAGAAATTCATTGGCTCTATGGCGCTAGAAGTCCCGTGCCTTTCCTGTATTTACTATCAGAGCCAATTCTGAGTAAGATGAGAATGCTAGTAACCGAACTGACCGGCAAGAAAATCAATCGCGGGAACTCCCACAGTTCAGCTTGGGAATCCGGCGAAAATTGGTACGAAAGAAGGAACTCCTGCAAACAAAAAAATTTAAAACTCACTCAAAGTCAACCACATAAAAGTATCCCTTGAAACTCCCTGCTTTCCTGTCAGCGGTCATATTGGGCAAAGTTTTGATGGATATCTCTCACTCAAAGCATCTAAGAGGGAGTCAAATACCAAAAGCTCGTTCAACAGGTTGCAGAAGCCGTCATCGTCGTACCCGTTGATGGGACATTCATTGCTTAGATTCATGCGAGAGACTAAGAAAATGCTAATCGTACCTTGAAATTAGTGCTGAGCGCTTCAACGCCGTCACTTTGAAGCATTTTCAGAGCAGCGAGCAGCTGTAGAACTATGAACGAGACTAGTTGTTCATGGGCATTTGCGTCCATTCTCTAAAATATTGGTTTTACTGCTGCTTAAGGTTTATGAACATCCAACTACGCCCAAACGGAAGAAAAATTACCTGATTCAAATGATGGGCGGCTAGAGAATGAAATGAGCACAGATTGATACGAGGTAAAGCCACCACCTAGAAACCCGAAATTACTCCGACACAGAAATAATGAGAAATATTAACAAAAAAAATTTCAAAAAATTGGGAAA